ATGGGTTAAGACAGTTTTAAATATTTTAAATATGTTCTATAAAGTCTTTTATATTATTTTTCTAAATAAGAAGTAACACATTTTGGTGGCACAGATTCAGCGCTGTCACTAACAGGGACGATGCATCTTCAATTTTGGTACGATTTTGTTGTGACAGTGGTAAAAAAGAACATTATTGTCCCCATAGCTTAGGAAATAAATGCGTTTGGGATATTAGAAAACTTAAACCAGTGGGCATTTTTTCCACATAGCCAGATGATAAGTAACTGTTTCCTTGCGAGCATTCCCTAGTGTCCCACCCCTGATTTCGTGGCTGCAGATGAGGTAAAAATTATGGTTATGGAGAGCACAGTTCACACAAAACCAGTGGAAACAGGCAGATACAAGAGTTTCTGATTTCTACTTTAATAGGACATATCAAGATTTAGACATTTGATAGGGGTGATTTAGGGCTTCCAGAGCATAATCAAACCTGTAGAGATGACTGTGGAAGTACAAAGCTGCAGCAGCTGAGGAATGCTGTCAGTTTACTCAGTGAGGGCAAGATGGGTTAAAAATTATGAAAACAGGAGAGTTTGAAAGGGAAATTTCAGCAAAGCTAGCCCATTTTAGTAGTGGAATCATAAGGAATGAGTGGAAGACAGAAGCACCTTTAAGAGCAAATAAGAATAATTTATTGAGGCAGGAGAAGGTGGGTTGTTTGCTTGCTGGTCTTAAGGGAGTATGTCAACAGATGCCTGGAACCAACATAAATTTCCCTAGGGAAGAAAAACTGCTGGAAAAAACATGAAGATTGCTTTATAGCAGGTGATCCAAAAATGAGTACAGTTGATGAGAAACACAAATTCACAATCAGCTGGGACCTGCAGACTTAATTTTAGCAGTGGAGTGGCCGTATGAAGCAATTGTCTGGAACCTTATGCTATAGTTGAAGAATAGAGGTTTGTTGTAGTGTGCCTGACTGGCTTGGAAATAAAATACAAATAGAGAAACATTGAATTTTAAAGCTAAAGAGTGGCTGGCCATTTAGCTTATTTGGTTAAAGTGTGATGCTGATAAGCCCAAGGTCCAGGGTTCAATCCCTGTACTGGCCAGCCACCAAAAGCAAAACAAAATAAGAATGAAAAATTTAAGCTAGAAAAGATGTTTGCAATAATTTTGTAGATGAAGAAACTGAGACCAGACCAAAGAAAGTAAGCGATTTGCCCAAGGTCTCTGAGCCCAGTGATGGCAGAGCTGGAAATAGATAGAACTCAAGAGCAGCGTGTATTGTTTGAATCATCTTGAAGCTTCATTGTAATTTGCTCCGCTCTGTTAAGACTTCTCAGGTTCAGCATTAAGCATGGTCTTTATCTTAGTGAATTGGAAGTGAATTAAGAACTGGTGTAAAGGAAGGTCCTATCCAGAGCAAAACTGCTAAAGGGAGAAGACAAAAAAAAAAACCCAGGGGGATTTGTATGAGAATTCATTTGGTAATGTGAAGAATTTTTCAGAAGAGGCAGAACTATAATTGGGAAGACAAGAAAGAAGAGACTAGGAATAGTCATTATCTTCATTATTGTTATCAAACGATTATATGGCATTTCATCTTCAAACCCTTTGCAAACTTTAATTAAGTATCCAATGCAGTTAAAATCTAAATTGCATGGATAGTCTGGAAAAGTAGAGTGTTGAAGTTTGGTGAGACACAAAGGAAGTATATTACAATTCTTCTGTTCTGAAACATTGTAAGAATTTGCTCTATTCTAAAGCGACCCTTTCCCTCATATGTTAATTTAAAAAAAAAAAAAAAAAGCCTTGTTATAATAGACTCCCTACCTCAGAAGCTGACTCTCCACAGTTATAGATGGGGAAATATACAAAATACGATAAATGTAGACTTACTGGATCAAAGAGTACAGAAAAGAAATGTGATTTTTTGAGGTTCACCTTTAAATGCAACATTTGAAAATGAGTAGATCCCCATTATAAATTACAATGAACTCCTCTTTCCTCCTTGAGACTTTCTGTATCTATGATGTACGAGTACATTTTGACTTTTTTAAAAGGTACTATGTCAATACAGTGCTTGAAGTATTTTTATTCTTTATGAAGTAAATCCCTAAATCACAATTAAAATATAGCAGAAAAGGGCAAAAGACCACTTGGATATCTCACACCTAAGAATAAATGAGACTTAAAAGTCAGACTCATTATAGGACACATGTCTTTTTCATTTAAAGTTATCTTTTTTTACTCATGCATGCACAAAATAGTTAACTCCTGCTGTTTGAAGACTGAGTGCCACAGTATTCTTTCTTCTAAGGCTAGAATTTTTCCCTTCCAAGTAGCATCTGTGTTTTCTGGAGCAGTTCAATGGAAGACATGACACTTTCAGTCTTGTAATGAGGCACCATTAAGCAGAGGCCTTTTGTAAGGGTGTAATTTCAAACTTCATTACAGATTAAGGCAGCCATGCCACCCGTTACCCAGGAAAATGTGCTTCTGTTGTGACTCTCCAATGGGTCTTACATTTTTAATGAATCTTGTTAGAATATTTATGAAACAGCATCACCAGTAGAGGGCATCTGTCTTTGAAACCTGTGGGTCACAGGAGATTAACTGACAGGGTTTCACAGCTCTCATTTTAGGCTTTTTGATTAGAAAAATGAAAGTTAAGGTACATGCTATAATCTGAAATGCTTTCTGATTTAGCCCTTATGACAAGCAAGGTACAGGAAATATGTGTACTTATGTATCAGAAATTTTAATTTTTTATCATCAGAGTAAAGTTTGGGTATGAAAGTAACCAGCTGAATTCCACAACAGATGCGAAGGATCATATAGCTATTGTGTGTGTGTGTGTTTGTCTGAGACAGGCTTCTGCCTTGCTAGTAGGTTTGACCTCTCAAAAATATTTAAAGATCCTGACTTGCTGATAAAAATATTTCCCATTGTAAAGTTTAGTCCTGCCCGTGAGCTATGCAGTGATTTCATTCAGAATGGAAGCTATAATCTAAAAGACTCTGGGGTTAGGAGACCTGAGTTTTATATCTAATCCTGGGCCTGACAATTTAGGTGTGGATTCTGTGGGAGGGGAGATGCCACCTTGCCAGCCAGACACCTTCCCATTGGTTGTCTCTTCTTAACCCTGGTCCCGCAGTCCTAGGAGTGTCCAGACTGCTCACCTACCAGCAGGCCTGGTGAGCCACTGACTCACATGACACATGCAATGGCTTGTATGTGTATGTCCTGGCCATGAAAATGTGTGTATGTTACACGCATACATACTGTACACACACACGCATACCCATATGGCATTTTCAAACGGGACTGATTGTTTCAAATAATGATTAATAGTTATGATCTCAGGTAGTATACTTTCTCATATTTTTCTTCAGATATTTTTAATATTAAGGTCTATAGCAGTATATGTTCAATTTTAATTTACTCTGTACATGCCATGAGAGAGGGAACTATGTTCTTAAATCTGTGAAAAATACCATGACTGTGTCCTGTTAATCTTCAAATAATAGCCTATTAGAAATGAAAACTTTAGCAAGGAAATATACACACTTCAAAGGCTTGGTGTATGCTACAGATAATTTTTTACTTAACACAATTCCCCTTTAATCTAGAGAGGTTTAAATAGTTTCTTGCTCATGAGGAACTGTTCTTTCAACTTGAATTCGCTTTACATTATCTCTGTTTAAGTTATATGTGAAATGAATATTTGTCATCAGTACACTGATTTGTATTTATAAGCAAATCTAAGTCTATACTAAGTGCTGTAATAGAGGAATGAACCAAAAGACATCAGTGCAGAGAGAGAAATGACTCCCAGCTTGTCTGTCCTTTTCACTTTTGCCCTGAAGCAGGCGCTTACGCATTCACAGTACTGGGATGAGTACCTGTCAGTTCTGAGCTGGTCTCTGTACCTTAAGAGATGAACACTGTGGAGCAGCTTCCTAAAAAGTAAAGTTAAATATTCAAATAGCAGTATTCAGTTTTAGCAAGGAATACTCACAGCATCATTGTGGTGTATTTGAGATGGTATTTACACATTAGTTAAGCACATGCTTCATTAAGTACCTGCTCCCTCAGCTCCCCCTTGTCTCCCCCCACCCCCCATCTTGTAATAGAAAGACTTGATACATCAGAAGTCCAAAACGTTTTCAGGCCGAGTGTAGTTCATGGATGGGTTTTGTTAGGTCCTTCCAGTACCTTAAAATTCAGAATTGGTCGCCAGTACATGGAAGAGTTCACTTTAAAACCACAAATTTGTGGATTCTCTTTTTAAAAAGTGACAGGATTTGGTAACACTGCTCTGTGATCCCACATGGCAAGTGCCTGTGCTCCCAGTCCCCCACTCCCCCATTTCCCCCCCATTTCCCATTCCCTCATTTATATTCCTTGCCTGGCCTTAGGCCATCCTGAGTGTCCATCCCTTTTTCCCTCTCACACAGTTGAGCAGCTGTTAAGGATGTGGGCTTACTCAGCTGCAAATGTGTTATGCCACCGTCTTCAACTTTTTGTACTTCTAGTTTTCTGTCATAGAGATGGGAATTATATCTGGTACCTATTGTCCATGAAAACTTTGACAATTAGAGTGAATTTATAAGTACACTTTAAAGTAAAATTATTTATACTACTTTTAGCTAGAACACTTAAAAAGATTATTTTGTTTCATAGTTCAAGATTGACACTATAGCAGATAGCATTTTTTTTTAATCAAAATTTAAATATATTTTACATGAGGTTTTACTTGACATGTCTTTTTCTTAGAAAAGTGAAAGTCAAAGGTAGAAGTCTGAAAATTACTAATATATAGTTACATATTTAATATGAATATTATGTAGTTATGTACTTATGGGTATATTTATCCAGTTAACACATTCTTAGCTTTCAGGGATTATAATAAAATTGCTGCTGCTTAAATAGCAAAGCAACCTTAGGATGAACCAAAAAATAAGGCACCGTGTGTGGATGTTAACTTTAGATGAATGGGTTTTTCTTTTCAGAATACGGCAAGAGAATGATATGGTTGATTCAGCACCTCAGTGGGAAGCCGTATTAAGGAGACAAAAGGAAAAAAACCAAGTGGACCCTAACAATAGGCGATCCAGACACAGATCTCGCTCGTATGTGGACTCTTTTTATACTTTTATTCAAAAACACTAAGCTTGAAATAGCACACGGGTGCTCAGGTCTTCCAAAGTGGTTCCGTTCAACCTTGATTATCCCATTGTTTATTTGTCATATTTACCTCCTTATATTTGTGACATTCATTAACCATATTTGAAGCCATACAAGTTGGAGCACAGCTAAAACAAAATGTCATGAAAACAAGACTGTCAAAACCATATTTTTGTTTTGTGTTGTTTTTAAACAAAAGCATACTGAACTGAATAAATAGGAGTAGTCTCCTTTGTTGTGGAGCCTGGCTTTTGGTGAAATATCTGCTGCTTCTCTCCATTTAAGTCTGCAGAATTCTCTGAAGTATTGTTCCGGATTGAACCAGATGTGAATATCTTCCCATCAAATTACCATTTGTAAGCAGTAGTCAGTGAGTGATTCATTACACCCCAAGGTTGGGATTTGTGTGCTCCTCCTGTTGCTAGGCAATACCATGTGTGAGCACAATTACCCCATAATGGAGAGATTGCCAGTCCCCCAAATTAATTTTCTTTGAGCTGAAAAAGTTTATATGTTTAAATCTGTGCATCATCAAGGTTTAGACCCCTATTCCACTCCACTTCCCAAAGCATACCTTTTTAAAGTAAGCCAAGACTAACTACAGATCCTATCCTAATAGTGGGTGGTTAGATGTCTGGAGTTGATACTCCTGGGAGTATCAACTCTTGTCTAAGATAAGGCAATGGAAGGATGTTGGAGAGTGGATGTGGAGACAACTTGGTTAGGTAGGTGGGCAGCTCTGAGGGAGCAGGCAGAAGGTCCATAGGGAAGCTGTGAACACCAGATCAGGTTAACAGAGGCCAGGAAAGGACTCTGGAGGGTACACCCTAGGACCCTGTGTGCTGTGGGATTCTAAGGGATGCTTCTCAGTTGTAGATGCTTACCTTTTAATTAGAAGTTAACTCAGACTGTGTTATTGTTTTTATCGGTAGTACATCATAATGAGCGATGACTGTTTCTTTTGTAATAGAAAACCTGCAAGTAGTCACTAAGCAGTGTACACCCTTACAGATTTATTCATTACTCCATAATGTTTTTTTTTTGGGGGGGGGGTAACCTAATTAAACTGTTCAATTCAATTTAAAGAAGTTAATGAAAAGTTCCTTTTGTCTTAATGTACCTCTCCCCAATCCCATTACAAAAGGGAGGTTTAGATATGGAAGAATCAGACCTTACTGAAAACAGTTCAACCAAAAAGCACAGAACCCAGGGTCAGAACCCATAGTCCTGGTGAATCTCTTGCGACCATGCTTTTACCTTTCCACGTGGAACCTTTTTCTTTGCGAGACTTGTTATACACAGGGGTTGGTAACTTAATATTAAATCTTAATAGAGCATTCTGTTTTTCTAATCATCTCTAAAGTGTTTTGAGTTCAATTACATGCCAGTAGTACATTTCATTTATGGACAAAAGGGAAAAGTAAAGTAAAATTAGGAAAAATCCTACATATAAATTTTGAAGAAGTCAAAAAACATTCCTGGAGGCCATACTAAAGAAATGGAACCATTCATTTATGAATAAAATCAACAGAAGAACTCAGAGTTGTTGAGTATTATAGTTACTACAATCCAATTATATTATGGGGCAAATGTTTTTATATGGGCCTGGAAATATAATGACTTTAATTAGTGGTCTGAGGTTCACTTAACAGCCTAAGGAATAAGCTTTTTAAAAATTGGAGTAATTTGAGGTGAAATTTACATAAAGTCAAATGCCCTCTTCTTAAGTGTACAGTTCAGTGAATTTTGACATGCATGCATAGTGTATCCATCATGCCAGTCAAGATGTAGGACATGTCCATTATCCAGAAAATTCTCTCAAGTTCCTTCTAGTCAGTCCCCACCACCCATAGGCAATCACTGTTCTGATTTCTATCACAGCTTTGTCTCGTGTTGAGCTCCATATAAATGTAACTACACAATGTGCTCTCTTTTAAAATCTGGATTCTTTTACTCTACATGTTTTTGGGATTCATCCATGTTGTGTGCATCAGTGGTTATTTAAATGTTTTGAGTAATAGCTCATTGTATGACTAATCCTACAGTTTGTTTATCCATTCCCTTCTTTTTTTTTTTTTTTTTTTTTTGTCTTTTTTACTGACCGGTAACGGGATCGCAACCCTCAGTGTCGCGCCCGTACTGGGGACCGGCAACGTGACTAATCCTACAGTTTGTTTATCCATTCCCTTCTTTTTTTTTTTTTTTTGCGACTGGCTGGTTCAGGGATTGAACCCTGAACCTTGGTGTTATCACCACCACGCTTTAACCGACCAGCTATCCGTTCTCCTCTTGATGGACATTTGGATTGTTTCCAGTTTTTGCCAGTGTCAAAAGCTGCCGTATGCATTCTACATTCTATACAAATGTATCTGTGGAATATGTTATCTTTTGCCTTATGTAAACACCTGGAGATGGAATTACTGGGTTAGAGGGTATTTGCATGTTTAATTTTACAAGGAACTACTGATATGATTTCCAAAGAGGTCATATCATTTTACACCCCACTAGCAATGTATGAGATTTGCCATTCTGCCCCAATCTTGCCAATATTTGGTTTTGTATGTGTTGTTAACGTTAGATTTTCTAGTAGGCTTGAAGTGGTATTCCTTTGTAGTTTTAATTAGCATTTCCTTGATGACTAATGATGTTAACCACATTTTATTGTTTATTCATATATCTTTTTAAAGTGTCTGTTCACATTTTTGCCTATTTTAAATTGAACCATTTGTCTTTTTTATTATTTATTTGTACGTTATTTATATATTCTGTATGAAAGTCTTTTTAAGATATGTGTGTTGTGAATACTTTCTCCCAGGCTGTGATTTGCCTTTTCATCTTCTTAAACATTGTTTTTTGATGAACAGGATTCTGAAATTTTGATGAAGACCAGTATATTATTTTTTAAAATTTATACTTAAGGCTTTTTTTGTTTTTGCATCATAAGGAATATTTGCATACTCCAAGGTCACGAAGGTAGTCTTATATCTTTTTTTATAAGCTGTGTAGATTTTCCTTTTTTTCTTTCTTCTTTTTGGCAGCTGGCTGATATTGGGATCCAAACCCTTGACCTTGGTGTTATACACCATGCTCTAACCAACTCAGCTAACCAGCCAGCCCTTCTTTTTTTTCTTCTTAAGGTCATACTGATTTTAAACCATTCTTCTTTTCTAATATAAGCATAAAATTATAAATTTCTCTTTAAGCCTTGATTTAACTATATCTCGCATGTTTTTGACAAGCATTGTTTTTATTGTCATGCAGTTTAAAATAATTTTCAATTTCTCTTGTGATTTCTTTGGCCATGGATTTTTTAGTAGTATATGGTTTAATTTCCAAATATTTGGGGATTTTCTAGACATTTCATTATTATTTTCTTACTTAATTCCACTGTAGTTAAAAAAAAGAAAACTATAAGATTTTAATCTCTTGAAATTTATAGAGACTTTTTTAAGGCCTACCATATGGTCTTTAATGATGAATGATCTGTGTACATGAAAAAAATGATTAGTCTCAGTCATTGGGTGTCAAGTACATCCAATTGTAGCTTACAGTGTTGTTCAGATTGTCTGTGTCATTTCTGATTTCTTTACCTACTTTTCAATCAGTCATTGAGAGAGGGATGTTAAAATTTCCCCCCAATCATTGTGAATTTATTTGTTTTTCTCTTTAGTTCTGTCAGTTTTTGTTTTAAGTTATTCTGAAGTTCTGGTATTAGATATATACATACTTGTGATTTTTTTCTTCCTGATGAATTGACCCTTTATTCTGGTAATACTCATTTCTCTATGTCTACTACACACACACACACACACACACACACACACTCTACACCTTTTTCATTCTCACTGTTTGCACAGAGTATATATCTTTTTAATCCTTTTACTTTAAGCCTAACCATGTCTTTATATTTAAAGCCCGCTTCTTGCAGACAGCATATAGTTGGTCTGATTGTTTTTTTTTAAATCTAGTCTGACAGTCTTTACTTTTTTTTTTTTTTTTTTTTTCTTTTTTTTTTTTGGTCTGCAGATGACAAATTCAGTTTTATTTTATATATAAGAATGTCTTTTTTTTTTACCCATACTTGTTACAGATAGTTTCACTAGCTATAGAATTCTGGGTCGATGCTTGTTCTTTCACACTTTAAGGGTATTGATTGTTCTCTTGTCTTCTAACTTCTGTTGTTTCTGATAAGAAATTAACCTTCATTCTGTAGGGACTGCATGGGATTTGTCTTTTTTCTCTAGCTACTTTTATGATTTTTTTCCTTTATCTTTGATTTTCAGCCGTTTTACTATTGTGTGGCAAAGTTTGGTTTTCTTTACTTTCTTGTTTCAGTAATTGGATGTTTTTCACCAAATTTGGGAAAATTTTGGCCATTATTTTTCCTATTTTTTTCTGACCTATTCTCTTTCTCTTTTTCAGGTGTGCAGTTATACATGGGTACTTCAAAAAGTTCATGGAAAGATTTGTATTATCTTTCAATTCTATTTTTTCCACAAACTATTTGAAATATGCTCGTATTTATATCTAAACCACTTGATATTGTCTCGCAAGCAAGTGAAGTTCTGTTCATTTTTAAAAATACTTTTTCTATCTTTTTTCAGTTTTCATAATTTTTATTGATGTTTTCAACTTCATCAACCCCTCTTTTCCCCAGTACAATCCAATCTGATATTAAACCCATTCAATGAACTTTCTACTGTCCTGTTCTTGAATTTCAACTTCATTCTTTTTACACTTTCCATTTCTCTGCTGAGATTTCCAATCTGTTCACTTATTGTGTTCATACTTTCCTTTTATTTGTCATACATATTTATAAAAGATATCTTAGAGTGCTTCTCGGCTAATTCCCACATCTGAGTCTTCTCAAAGTCTTTTTCTATTAACTGCTCTTTTTTCCCCCTAGATTATGGTTACACTTTTCTTTCTCTCTGCATGTCTGATA